CTGCGACGGCCGCGCCTTGCGGACGACGTCGGGGATGGCCCAGGCGAGCGACGACGATGCTTTTTCCGAGAAGATTCGGGACGGCCCGTCACCAAAGTTCACCTCGCTCGGCAACCACCTCACGTGCAGCCTGATGTTGCGGGCCAGCAAGAAGCCGCCCAGCTTGCGCAGGACGGTCAGCAGCGCGAAGTCCCAGCAACGGCTCCGGCTCACGGCCAGCACCACCGACATGTTGTCGCAGAGGTGGAGGCGCCTGCGATTGCCGCCGACAGCGACATGCGCCAGCCGACGCACGGACGCCAGCAGGGCGCGAGCCTCCAGCAGAGCGACGCGCTCGCGCCTGCCCCAGGTGCCGGAGCGGCAAACAGTCCAGCCCTCTGGATGAAGAAGGCGGGCCGGCACCTCGGGGAAGCCTTCAACGATGGACGAATCCTCGTCGAGCTCGTCGCCCCCCCGCGGCCGCCAGCGCCCATCCTCGAGCACAAAGCCGGCAGCCGCAAAGCCGGCAGCCGCCATTGCGGACTCCCGCGGGGCGACCGCCCCTTCTCGGCGGAAGCGGCCTCGCTCGCGGACTCGTCCGACGCCGGCAACGTCGTGGGGCGACCAACGAGAGCTGACAATGCCGAAGCCCTCCGGCGACGCGTCCGAGGCGGTGACGCCCCTGTTCCACGGCAATCACCAGTCGCTCTCCATGAACACCAGCAGCCCGACGAACGCGGAGAACTCGGCCTTGACGGTCTTCCAGAGCTCGACGTCCTTCGTGCACGTGGCGTGCACAAACGCGCATGCGGCTGAGAACACGGTCGTGGTCTCGCGCTTGATGAGGGCAATGCCCGAGGATGCTCTCCACCATCTGCCCGCTCGCGCGACCACGCTGGAGGAGGTGAAGCAGCCCCCTCTCAAGCCTAGCCCGCCGCTTGGCAGTGAGGCAGGTCACGAGCCGCGACCCGTCCAGGTCGACCCCCAGCGCGGAGCCCTTCTCGGTGAACAGCTCGACCTCGTGGATGCCCAGGCCGTTCTCACCAAAGACATGGACCTGCTCCGACAAGGCGGCTTCCACCGTCTCGGCGCGCCTGCCCATGACTCCGAGGTCGTCCGCGTAGACGCACCGCCAGAGGGTCGCGAGGACCGCCCAGCCCCCGCGGTCGGACAGCAAGCGGGCGTGACGGAGGAGAGGCGCGCTGCCCGAGAGCCTGGCGCTGGCTTTCTGGAAGAAGTAGAGGCCCCATGCGAGCCCCATGGGAAGAGGGCGAGCGGCCGGCCACACCTGGGTGTCACCAGAAGCCCGATCTTCCTCAATGAGCAGGAGGCCCGAGGGGTCGATCTCGGCGACGGACACTGGTTCGTAGAAGAAAAAAGGCGCTCATCCACGGCGGCGCGATCACGCGGTGGAAGCAGTTCTCTACGTCGGCCACGCCCGGGGCAACTCGGAGCGCCCGAAGGGCACCCCGGCCCAGGTCAGCGGCCAGCTCAGGGCCCTCGTCGACGTAGACCTCGATGCTCGAGAGGCCATCCGCGGTCAGCAGGTCCACATGAGGAGGCTGAGCGAACCGTTGGTTGGCGGCTCGCCCGTCTAGGATCAATCCCTGCTTGGCCCTGCCCTTCGTCCAGACGAAGAAGGATCCGATGAAGTCGATCGGCCGCGTGGTGCGCCGGAGCATGCCGACATCGTGTAGACGGCGACCGAATCGAAGGCATTGCCGGCGCGAACGCGCCAGGCGGGGATCTGAGTACGGCTTGGCGGGATCACGCCGCCGCAAGCTCTCAAACTCGCTGGTGTCTCGTAGCACGCGCTCTCCACAACCCCCTAGAAAAAAGCGCCCCTGCTGGTCGACAAGGTCGCCCACGGACGGGGCCGCGGAGACGTCGGCCGGCAAAGAGACAAGGCGCAGCTGGAAGGGGGCAACGTTCGATTGGCACTCCTCGTACAGGGAGACGCCGCGGATCATCTGCAAAAATGACGATCTCGGCGAGGGTGCGTCGGCGACCGGCTCCTGGGATCTGACCAGGCCCTCGACGCGCGCCACTACCTCGTTGTGCATGCCGGCGAAGTCGCACCGACGCAAAAAAGTGCGTCTCTCCAGGCCCTCCAACCAGTTGAATGCCCTGATCGCCCGATTGACGACGGCGAAGGTGCGCCGATGGCCACGAGGTCCTCGTCGCTCACGGTGGCGTCGGCCGCCGAGCCCCTCCGCCGCCAAGGGGATCGGGAAGAGCAGGCGCGAGCCCCGCCCCGGCGGAGGGGCGGCCGACGTGGGCCGATACGTCTCGGCGGGGGAGGGGGGCCCACTCCCCCCGCCGTGATCAAGGGTCGTCATTGGGCGCTGGGGGGGGCGCCACTGCCCCGGCCGCGGCCATCAGCGCCGCCGCCGCGGAATCGGCCGCCTCTCCCCCGACCTCCGCCTCCTGCAACCCCATCGGGGGCCTCGTCCTCGCTGGGGCCAGCCTGGAGCGTCCGCGCCCGCTGGGCCCCCGCAGCAACGTCGGCGTCCTCCTTCGCCTTCGTGGCCACGCACTGCCTTATCTCAGGTGCGATCGCATCGACCGCCGAGGACGTGCCCGCAAAGTAGAGTGCGAGCTGCCAGTTCGGGGCCTTGCCAGCGACCTGGCACGCGTCGACGATGGTCTGCACCCGGCGCACGGCCACCTCCATGCTGGCGAGCGCTGGGAGGTTAACCTGATCGTAGGTCGCACCGAAGAAGAGGATGTCGATCAGGCACCGCATCTCGCGCATCACGCGGCCCGAGTCTTCGACGCGCCGCTCCCGCGCCCAGATGGCCAGCCAGAGGCGCGGATTGCCCCCGTGGCGCTCCATGTGGCGCATGACGGCGTGCACGGTGGAGGGCCCCTGGAGCGGGAAATCTGGATCCACGAGACTGTGCGACTCCTGGCAGCACTTGCGGAAATCCTTATACCTGGTTCCCTGCTCGTCGTAGTCCAACCAAAGCGCACGGGCGCCCCCGCTGTCACCTGCAACTGTCGGCGAAGCCGCCTGGCCCGGGTCCGCGCCCAGGATGGTCTGTGCGCGGCTCGCCTCTGGATGGGCCTCGCCCCTGACCAGCAGCTCCACCCGCACCATCCCGCACCAGTCGGCAATGAATCTCTCCACGAGGTCCGTCCGAATGCAGGTGACCCTCCGATAGCCATCTCCGCGGGTCACCAGAGCGTCGTACTTGTCGACCCGTATGTCCTCGGCCCCCAGCTCGACCTCGCTGCCCACGGATCCGATGACGGAGGGCTCCGCCAGCACCCAGGCGTGGCCTGCAATGGCCGGTCCAGGCCCGCGCGCGGGGAACTCCTCCCCGCCCGCGCCTCCTGCGGCCCCTGCATGGCGACGGCAGCCAGACGAGCCCGACGCCACGGAAGACAGGTGCCGCCGAAGAGGTCGTCCAGCGTGGTCACCTCGCCGAACCTCACCATCACCTGCTCGGGCCGTCGGAGCTCCAGGCCTGCGGAGCGGACGATCTCCTCCGCATGCGCGTGGCCCTGGCGGATCACCGCCCTGAGCTCGTCCCGCGACGGAGCCTGCTGAAACGGTACGCCTGAGCACCGAGCCGAGGCAGCCTTCCGTCCACCAGCAGCGGGATGGCGCGCTCGAGGCCATCCGGGTCCGACCCGTCCAGGTACTCCGCGTACACGTCCTTGTCAGGCGTCTGCAGGACCCATTGGGCACCCTGGACCGGCCACGCCGCCAGCCTCTCATGCCACACGTGGCCGTCGCCGTACCACACCAGCAGCCGGGACCCCGGCATCAGGGTCTTCCAAAACTCCGAGTCCACGGCGGCGTGCGGGGCGATCGCCATGGCGCCTGCACCACGAGCAGCACGAGCAGGCCCAGCGGCCGCACTCCCAGGCAAGCCGCGCCACGAGCTGGCCCGCCAGCCCGGCGCCGAAAGCGTGGGGCAGCGAGCTCCACTGCGGGTCCGCCTCCTCGGCGGCGGTAGGCACCGCGGCCCACGGCTCCCTCGCCGCCGGGCACTTGCACTCGCACGGCGGGCAGATCGGCGTCGGAGGCTCGGGTGGCCGAAGCAGCCAGTAGGTCAGCGCCTCGTGACCCACGAGCAGGAGCAGTTTCTGGAGAGGCCCTCCGGCCATCAACTGCCAAGGCCGGAGGTCGCAGGCTCAACCCTTGAGCCAAAAAGACTTCGGAGCTTGCGAGATGTTCTGACAGATCTGCTGGCAAACGACAAGCCGCTCTCTTACCCCATTCATGCGCACGCACTCCCATCATCGTCATCGTCATCATAATCATAATCAGCATCATCATCATCATCATCATCATCATCATCATCATCATCATCATCATCATCCTCCTCCTCCTCCTCCTCCTCCTCCTCCTCCTCCTCCTCCTCATCATCATCATCATCATCATCATCATCAGCATCATCACCATCATCATCATCATCATCATCATCATCATCATCAGCAGCATCATCATAATCATCAGTATCAGCACCACCATCGGCATCATCAGCATCAACTTCAACATCAGCATCGTTATCACCATCACCAGCAACAGTAGCATCCTCGTCACCAACACCACCACCATTATCATCATCGTCGTCATCAACATCATCATCCCCCTCCAAAACAACAATATGATCAATTGTCTTATTGTGTTTCCTATGCTGAACATGTGGGGAACGTTATCCGACTCCAAATCCGGACACTCATGTGCAATCCGTCGCCATTCCATGGCCGTCCAAGGCCGTCAGATGCCATCCGAGGCCATGAGAACGCCGACGGGCGCAGCATGCGTCGGGGCAGAGGAGGTCCTCCGCAGGTTCCCTGCGAGATGCTCGATATATGTACCATATCGTTTGGTCGAGCAAGGAGCTCGGTGCACGAACGCCCCAGCTGCCGAACCCGTGGGACGCTGAAATGCCTGTACACCAAATTCCTGCGCAGAATCAATTTGGCCCCTTGGCCGACCAAATTACATACGGTACTCATCGAGACCCTCCGATTCCCCACGCAACATTTCACACCGCGCGAGGGACTGCGGATACGGTCTTCTTGGTCGTCCTGGACGCGGACATGTCGCTCGCGACAGACCTGCTCAACGACTCCTCGCCGAGAGGCGGAAGCGGCCCCCACCCCAATTGCCGCCTCGCCTCTGGTAGCGGGCGCCAAAAACGACGATCTGGTTGAGGCTAGCATGCGGGACAAGGGTCCTCGGGAAAGAGGCTCTGGATGCCTCGCCGTGTTCGGGCCCCCATGGTGCGCTCCACAGCCCCTTGACTTACAACTCCCGAAGAAGAACTGGTCCTGGGAAAGCCCCAGGGTCTAGGGTCAATTTCCCTCAAGACCCCCTTTCTTGATGCCGAAACTTGAACTACGGCTCGAAATCTATCTGGACTAACCGGCAAATCGACGTTGGAGGGTTGTGAATGCTGAGATTGTTGGTGCGTACGAACAAAGGCGACCTGGCTGTCCCAAAACGTGCGACGCCGCAACGCGCTGCTGTCCTGGACAGAGCACGCAACTCACGATCACTCGTAATTTGACGCGGCACGCCCCTTGGCACAATAGATACATCCCCCTGCCGTTCCTCCTCCCCCATCTCTTCTTCCTCTCGACCAATTGTTCCCCAAAATTGCGAAAGCTGCCTTTCTGTTCCTGGCACAATTGCATAGAGCAATGAATAGTCCTCTTCCTCCCTCGTCCTCCCACTACGCCTTATTCTAGTCCCGCGTCCCTCCTCATCGTCCTCCTTTGGCAGAGCTTCGGAAACCTCACTCACCAGCTCACCAGTATGACGGCAGTGGACTGTTTTATCCTCGAGCTTCGGAGCCTCCAAGGTAGCTCGTACTATGCCTACTAGCTGGGCAAGTGTGGCTCTGGGCACAGATTTTCAGTGAGCGTCCCTGCAATTGTAGAAGCCAGGTCTCTAGCCAGTTCAGATGCAACCCACAAGGTGAAAGATACATTTCCGTCCGCTACGCGCTTTCTCTTACCAGTATCTTCAGACCAGAGCTTCAAGCCCGCGAAGTTGCAATCGCCAGGGGGGCCTGGATGCCAGCCCACAAAACTACGAGGTCGCACAGCCTTGCCTTAGCGAGTGCGCTCACTTATTCTAAATCCCAGAGATGTCAGAAGTAGGCAAGCTTCAAGTCTTTACGTTCCTGCGTGCGCGGATTGTCTAGCAGCTGTGTTCCAACCGCCCCACGTGTACCTTGCAGCGACGTTCGAAACAAGCAGTGCGCCGCGCGAAAAAATCTGAGGCTGCGGAACAATGGGCGCCATGGAGCTGACGGAGGTTTGTGGTATCTCGAGTGGCCCGGAAGAGACACAGAAAGCGCCGAAAATTGAAGTTCGCCGGCCAAACGGGCCAAAAGCGTGCTAAGATCTCCAGTAACTGGTACACAGTATTTCTTAATTCGCGCGCGCGGGGCGGCCCCTGGGGGTTCCCCGGACGAAACGTACCCCTGCAAGAGCACTCCAGGGGAGGACCATTTTTCGACACCCCTCACGAGGATCGTGGCCTCCGAGGGGGGAGCCGCAGTCGACTACCCCCCCTCCCGCCCTAAGAGGCCTCCAAGAGCCCCCTAAGAGGCCCTGGCGGCCCCCAAGACACCGTCAAGGAGACCCAAGAGACTCCCAAGAGGGCCCCAAGAAGCCAAATTAATTGTTTTTTGTTCCTGTGGTTTTGGGAGGTGTTGGCGTTCCCACCCTTTTCGGCATCGCGACGCCCCATGACGGCCCAAGCCCCAGGAGGCCCCCCAAACGCCCTCGAGATAGCTAGCCCCCAGACGCCCCACGAGGCTTTCAAGAGCACTCCCAAGAGGGCCCCAAGAGGCAAAATAAACTGTTTTTCCTTTGTACTGGGGAGATTCTTGCGTCTCCACCTTTTCGGCATCGCGACGCCCCAAGACGGCCCAAGACGCCCCAAAGATCGCCCTACGAGGCCCGAGAAGCCAACGACAGGGCCCCAAGACGGCCCAAGAGGGTTCCAAGACGGCCCAAGAGGCCTCCAAGACGGCCCAAGAGGACCCCAATAACGCTCTGAGAGCAGCCCCAGAAGGGGGAACACGAAACAACATGTCGAACCCTCGGCCCGAAGAAGCCCCCAGCAGGCGCCAAGAGGCCCCTTTTCAAGCCCCAGGAGGCCCCCAAAAGGCCCTCGAGATAGCCCCCAGACGCCCCACGAGGCTTTCAAGAGCACTCCCAAGAGGGCCCCAAGAGGCACAATTCATTGCTTTTCCTTTGTGCCGGGGGAGATTGTTGCGCCCCCACCCTTGCGGCATCGCGACGCCCCACGACGGCCCAAGAGGCCCCCAATATCACCCTAAGAGGCCCGAAAGGCCTCCGACAGGGCCCCAAGACAGCCCAAGAGGGTTCCAAGACGACCCAAGAGGCCTCCAAGACGGCCCAAGAGGACCCCAATAACGCTCTGAGAGCAGCCCCAGAAGGGGGAACACGAAACAACATTTCGAACCCTCGGCCCGAAGAAGCCCCCAGCAGGCGCCAAGAGGCCCCTTTTCAAGCCCCAGGAGGCCCCCATAAGGCCATCACGAGGCCCCCAAGAAGCTCCCAAGCGGCTCCCAGGCGGCTCCCAGAAGCCCCAAGATGGTCCCAAAGTGGCGAGATCTTTTCTTCGGACGCTTGCCTTGATGAGTTGAGCCCGCACGTCAACGTACAGACTCTCTTGAAGTAAACCTGCTGGGGTCTCTGGATCCCTGCAGCCCCCTTCGTGCCGCCAAGCTCCTCAACCAGGCGCGATGCTCGAATCCTGCTCAAGCTCCGAAGCTCCTCGACAGTACACAGCGCTCTGGACCGCGACGTTGGTCGAGCACTGCAATCAAAAGCACGCGCCATCACCGCGCCGACTACCGTAGCCCGTCCAAGGCCACGAAAGCGCGGGGCGAAAAGAATGCAGGCCTAAATGGCCAGGCCAAGATGACCACCTGCGCCTCTGCCCCAGACCTTCGCCTGAAGGGCGCTCGAGAGAGGCGCGTCTGAGGGCTCGACGCCCATCATATTCAGCCCTCGGAACATCGCCGCCTGGTCGAGGAACTTCGCCCCCAGGTCCGCCGGGTTTGACTTCCCGGGGACCTTAGCCAACTGAAACCGGCCGCCCTTCAGTGCCTTCTGCACCCGCAAAGTCGATCGGCGCCTCGAGGCGTCGGACTTTGCCGCAGCACCGTCGTTGCACGATGCCAAGAGCCGCTGCCGAGTCGCTCCAGATGCGAAGGCTCCCTTCCCTGCCTAGGCCCTGGCACTGCGACTGCATGCCGATGGCCCTGCTGGCTGCTCGCACACAGCCGTAGAACTCAGCTTCCCCCGAGCTCATAGAGATGGGGATCTGAGTTGTCGATGCCGTCGCGATCAGGTGTTGCCCGTGCTTGATCACGACTGAACTGGTGCTCCTCCGCGCGATCGGGCAGCCTGCCCAGTCGGCGTCCGAGTAGATGTCCATCACCGTTGGTGTCCGCTGACGGCCCCACCTCCAGATGGCACGCGGCTCCCCGATCAAGAAGCGCCCAGCGCGCTTCAGGAGGCGAAGGCGTCGCTCCGTCGGCTCCTGCATGCCGCGAGCGCCCTCCTTGGCCGTGAACTGCACCTCTGGCCGGTCCAGCGCCAAATGGCCCAGCCTCATTCACGCGCTGCGGTACTCCGCTGCCTCGTGCTCATTCAGCTCGCGCTCGACCTCAGGTGTCAGCTTCTGGCTCAGCCCTGGCGTGATCAGTGACTTCGCAGCGCGGGGGTCCATCCCGAGCTGCGCGTGCAGGATCTGCGCATGCCTAGAATCCGCCTCGCACTCGATGGCCTCGCCCCCTTGGCCCCATCGGTCTCGCCAACGCACTACCCTGCTGAGGCGCGTGATCTCCTTCGCGTCGGTAGGCGCCGGCCCGAGCACGCCCCTGTCCTTCACGGTGCCGACGGAGACCGCGTAGGATGGCACGCAGGAGCTTCACCGGGCACCTCTCCGCCACGCGCATGTTCCTGCCGACGAAGGTGGAAACTCGTGCTTGTTGCCAGCGTGGGTGCCGTTGGGGCAGCGCTTGCAGACCTCCTCCAACACCTCCTTGTTGTTGCTCATCCACCCCGTCGGTTTCTTGGCGAGCCTGTCGCCGCGCGCGTCCGCGACCACTAGGCCGAACGCGCACTGGTCGCCCCGCCCGACCTCGACGCCGGGGAGGGCCATCACGTCCTTCAAGATGTCCAGGCCCCAGCTGTCCGCGCCCCAAAAGCGCTCGTGCAAGAACGTGCGGTCGTTCTTCACCTGCAGCGTGTAGAGCCCCATCGCGAACTTCAAGTGCTCGTACCCGATGGCGCAGGCCTCACGCTGCTTCCCCGCGCCCTCGCTCAGGTACTTCAGCATGGAGAGCGGCGCGCAGAGAGGGCTGCCCAGGATGAAGTACACTTCGTAGTGCTCGATCAGCTCCCGGCACTGTCGCTGCTGCTGGCGGTCGGTCAGGCCCCAGCCGACCCTCCAGTCGAATGGGCCGCCGTGGACCAGACCGAAGAGTGGGGCGAAGCCCACAAACCCAATCGGGCAGAATACCTCTATCACGTCGGCCTTGCGCCCGCTGTAGCCGAGGGGGAGCAGGAGGGCACCGATCTCCTCCTGCATGTTGTCGTCGCCCGGGTCGCGAGGTGCCGGAGCCATCGCCACGTCGGCCGCCGCCGCGGCCTCAGGTGCTGGCGGCACCTGCTGAGCTGGGGCTGGACCGCCACTGCCTGACGAGCCGCCCTCTTGGTAAAAAGGCCCTGCGACGTCAGCGCGATGGCGCTTCCGCCCGCGGGCATCCTCGAGCCTCTGCTTCGCCTCATCGTCGCCCTGCATCGCCTGCTCGATCCGAGCGCGGCATTCTGCTGAGTGAGCCCGCGCCCGGGCGCCGCCGAGGATCGCGGCACAGCCGCGGCAGCCAGGGGTGATCCCGTACTTCGCGATCTCGACGCCCTCCCTGATGCACACGGCCCGCGGCCCTGCCGATGGCCGCCCGACTCGGGGGGCCCGAGGCGGGAGGTCCTCGGCCTCGGGGATTGGCGCGAGAAGGTCGCCCGCAGGCGCGACCAGCGCCGGCGCCGGCGCTCGGATCTCGATGGCCACGGGTACTTCGCCCACCGCCACGTCCGTCGGCACCGGCGCCCACGGCTTCCCCACGAGGCTGTTCAGCAGGTCCTTGTCGGCCCGCTGCTCGGCCGTCAACCGCTTGAAAGCCCTGGCCCGTAGCGCGCCCAACTCCGTGCCGATGTAGACCTCGCCCGTCCGAAGCGCGAACCAAGTAGAGCCCAGAGAGAAACTCGCCCTCGATCCCGGCCCTGCGCTTGCCCCCTGGGAGGTACAGGACCTTCTCCGAGAAGCAGGCTGGGTCCTCGTTGAAGGGGCGGCCGCGCCGAAGCTCCCAAGCCGCGCAGCCGCCCGCGCCCCGCCTGCCCAGGTTGATGGACATGGCCGCGAACTCGACCATCCACCGGGTCACCGGGTGCTCGACGCCAATGCCCACGCCGTGGAGGTCGCCCACCTGCGCCCTCGCCGCCCTGACCTTGGCCTTGACCTCGCGCACCGCGCGCTCGGCGAGGCCGTTGCCCTGGGAGTCGCCGACCGCGCTCTCCTCGGGGACCGTCTCGACGCCGCGCCCCTCCTTGAGCTTGGGCCCGATGCGGGTCTTCAGGGCGACGAGCGGCGCCTCGCCGTCCGAGCGGAAGACGAAGCGCTTGTGGCCAGCCGATGCCAGCCTCCTGGGCCATGACTTCGCCAGCCAAGGGCGCTGCGCCCCCTTGGACGGAACCATCAACGCGTGGAACCGACGCTGCTTCGAGTCCTTCCCGATCAGCAGCGGCGCGGCGCCCTCCCGTTTGCCGAGGTAGCCGCAGTCGATGCCAACCACCGCGAGCGCCGACTCCTGGCGGCCCTTCGTCTGATGGCCTGCCGACGGGCCCCTGCCGGAGACGCACTCCCTGCACCATGCCCTGTAGGGCTCGTGCAGCACCTCGTGCGCGGCTCGCTCGGCCGCCATCGGCGCCGCGGGCCCCCTCGCCAGCCGCGCCGGCGGGCCCTCCGCGACCTCCTCGCGAGCCGGGCCTGGCTGGCCGGCCTCGCCCTCGGGAGGCTCGGGGCCTGCCGCCTCGACCGGGCAGACCCCCGGCACGTGCGGGTCAAGGTGCATGTCCATCTCGTAGACCTGCGGCAGAACTTGACAACGCCCCCGCTGGTCTTGCGGCACGCGTAGCTAATGTCCTGCCCGCCCTCCGAGTCGAAGACGAGCTGATGTCCTGAGTCGACCATCTCCGCGACCCTCAGCAACGGCTTGCTGACGTCCGCCGCCCTGAACTTGGCAGCGCGTGCCTGGGAGGCCCCAGGCATCTTCCCCAGGGCCTTCCTCGACCTGCCGAAAGACGATGCCGATCCTCATGGAAGCCGAGATACCCTCACCGCTCCTCTGCTCGTAACCTGAGGAGCTCTCGCTCGAACAGCGCTAGCCTGTCCTCGACATCGCCCGTGAACGCGAAGTTCAGGAGATCCAGCAGCTGCCCCGCGATGCTTGACCTCGCATTCGGTTCGCAGTACTCGACTAGCTTGCGCCACGCCTGGAAGCCCTCGTTCTCGCCAGCGCTCACGATCGGCGTCAGAGGGTGCTGCTGGCAGAGAAGGAGCAAGATGTAATACAGCTGATGCGGGGCCTGCCTCATGTTCTCTTCTATGAAGTCGTCGATCTGGACCGAGGCCTCGTCAGCGCTCTCTGCCAGCCGCATCCCTGCCAGCAGGTCGGCATTCATAACTCCACAGTACGCCTTGAAGATCACCTTCCAATTGTTCCACTTGTGCTCCTCGCCCGTGAACACGTCTGGCTTCCCCAGCGTGCGAATGTCCACGAGCGACTCAGCTCGAGGCTGCAGCACAGGTCCCTCCACCCGTGGCCGAGCCTCGGCCGCACGGCCGAGCCGCTGCACCTCGGCCGTGAGATCGTTATCCCTCTGATGGCGGTTCTGCAGCTCCTGAGCCATCGCCAGCATCTGCTGCTCTAGAGCGTGCATGCGTTCCTCCGCCATCTCAGCGGCGGCTCGCTCGCAGCTTCGTGAAATCCTTCGGGTGCTGGCCCAGCGCCGCCCGGGTCCTCCTGAGACGGAACAGCTTGCGCAGCGACCGCGCCGCGCTCCTCCAGCCGCTGTGGACCTCGTGGAGCTCCCACTCGTCGCCGCCGCCTCCGCTGGGCCCTGCCGGCCCTGATGCAACTCCCGCGCCGGCGGGCCACCCCAGGCTGCCGGGGTTCCCCGCGCCGCCGGCAGGAGCGGGAGCCGCGGAACCCGACCCCGAAGTTGTCCTTCGTTGATTTCGTCGGTAGCCACCGCCCCTGACAGAAAACATGTCGAACTCCAGCTGACGGCACCCTCGCAAGAAGCAAGCCGGGTTTTTCGCTTTGAGGTACGGCCGAAGGCCGTAAGAAAGCAGACACTCCTTGTCTGGGTAGCGTAGTACGTGGTGGCCCCGAACCGCTTCCAGCGGCGTCAGCAAGTGATCGCCCCCTTGGGATTCGGTCCGTGTCAGGCTGGCTCCAGATTTAAATACTTATTCGGCACGGTCTCTTCATCGGGTTCTGTCTCCAGTTCCCTCGCCCTGGGGTTCGGATGTTGCGTTCCTGCGTTCGTCTGCCTCCGTTTGCTCTAACTACCGCCTCCATGGCCGCAGTACCATCAAGCGCACCACCGCCTTCATCATCTGGCCCTACGGGCTTCGGTCATAACCCGATCCATTCACTACTTTTTGCACGCCCTCACCCTCGACATCTAGCTTGACCACGGGTTGGCCGTGTCTGACGACGTCCACCGTTCTCATCACACCTGGATCATACGACGAGCCAGAATGTATTCCTGGATCACCCCCCAGCTCAATAGCACTATCAAAAGCATTCCTTGTAGTATATTTGGAGATACTCTGCGTTTGATGAGCGCCTTCGGGCACAGTCTCCAGGCAATTATTCTGGCCAACTGGCTCCAGAGAAAGATTAACGTGCTGTGACCAATTTAAATTACAATGAGATGCATTTCAGTCAGGTGAGCGATCATAGAATCCATATCCCTGCATAGATGCTCACGCCGACATTCGCTGAGCGTCTTGAGCCAGAAATTGTGCGACTTGTGGCGCAGCGAAGGATGATGAGGCCAAGATGTAAGGCCGATCCCGACGCATTATCAACGGCCGAAGAGCCAATACGATGACCCAAGTTTGAAAAAGAGGGCGCAACGTGGTGGCATCAAGCTAAGGCGGCAGTAAGCAATGTCAGCTAGTCACCAGAGGCCCCGGAGATCGCCCCAAGACGGCCCGAGAGGACCCCAAGAGAGCCCCAAGACGTGGAAATCGAACTGACATTTTGCGCCCTCCAACCCACGCTACCCCCCAAGACCGCCAGCAGGCCTCCAAGAGCCCCCCCAAAGCCCCAGGAAGCTCCCAAGAGACCCAAATCAAACCCCAAGAGGCCCTCTAGAGGCCCCAAAGACACCCCAAAAACAGTCTCCAAGAGGCTTCCGAGAAGCCTCCCAGATCCCCACAAGCCATCCAAGGACCCCTGAACTAGAACCCAAGCGCGGTGGCGGAATCCAGCCCACCAGCCACCCGCAAGGACGCGCAAAGCCCTCAATGTCCAAATACATCGCCTCCGAGGACCCGTAGACTTCCCAGGTCGTTGGTCTTCCCGCTCCAGACGGCCCCAAATTGGTTTCCAAGACGCTCTAAGACGGCTACGATGGCCCCATGAGAGCCCAAGATGGTCCAAGATGTCTTCAAGACGGGCCGAAGTGCCAACATGAGGACCTCCAGGAAGCCCTGAAGAGGCCAGAGCCATGGATTACCCGAAGGTTGTTGGAGGATTTGGGCCTTTGCTCATTTTCGGCCTTCCGACGGTCGCAGATGGCCCCAGAGTCCACCAAAATGGCCCCAAGAGCGCCCAAGAAGCTTCGAGATGGCCCCCTCACGGCACAAGAGGACCCCAAGAAGGCCCCAAGACGGCCCCAAGATGGCCCAGGAGACCTCCAAGATGCACGAATTGGCGCGCAAGACGGCCCCGAAGTGCCCCAAGAGAGCCCGAAGTCGGCACAGAGAGGCCCTGAAGACGGCGCCCGACGGCTTCAGACGGGTCAGGAACGCCCTGAGACGGCCAAAGAGCCTCCTCAGGAGCTTCCAAAAGACCCCAAGAGGTCCAAGGAAGCCCCCAAGAGGCCTCCGAGAACCCACCAGGAAGCTCCCAGGAGGTCCCAAGAGTGCCCCAAGAGGCTCCCAAGTGGCCTCCTCCTCCTCCTCCTTGTCCCTTCCTCTCCTCCGCTTCTTCTTTCTCCCCCACGTGTTCCCCGAGGGATTTTCATAGCGGTTGGGGGAACAGTGGCAGTCCGATAGCTTGGCCGAGCTCTGGCCGCAACGTTTGTCCACATAGGCGCTTCCGAAAGGCAAGGGGCGGCGGTGATTCGCCGTAGTTCGGCATCTGCGATGTCAAAAGAAAGCACGTCATATCGCATTGTCAGATTTCCTTGCCTGCCAAGCCCTCCATCTCTAGTTCCCCTCCTGGCCCGTCCTCCCCTTCACCTGCGCCCTTCCCCCCGCGCGCCCCCTCGCACACCCAAAATAGTTGCGACACGCACACAAGCACATCTATTCTGGGCTGAGCAGGAGTCTGGACACACGGCCGAAGCTCAGAGCCTTTCGTCAGCATGCCAGCAGGAAGGCGGGGGGGAGAGAGATCGAGCAAGGGCAGCAAGGGACACGGCGGGGCAGGGGTAAGAGGGGAGGGAAGACAGGGAGAGATAGGAACGGGGTTAGGAGGGGAAGGGTAGGGTAAATTGGAGGCGCCAGGGAAGGTGCGTCCCATGGCCGCCCCCAAATGGCCGTCCTGGCTGGGAGGTTGATCGTTGAGGCCAGGCTCCACATCGCTGCTGTCCTCTCTGGTCGCGCTGGCACGGACGCTCCTGTCGCTGACGCTCTGCTTTGGCAACCCGTGGCAGACGCGCTCCTCGGGAGTGGGGAGGAGGGAGGGGATGGCAGAAGTGGGGGCAGAGGCTGGGAGAAGAGGAAATCAGGGCGGACAAAAGGAAGAGAGGGCCAGGAAAGAGGGGGATGGGACAGGCGAAGCAGGGGGGAGAAAACTAGCCTGGCGAAGGACCCAGTCATATGCAGTTGTGAGTAACGCAGTTGTATCGTCTTCGGTGGTATGGGGCCACGAAACGTGCGAGGAATGAACTGAAATAGGTGGCGGGGACGCATGTAGGCACCGCCACTGGGGCCATCGGTGGAGTTCTATATGTGGCCACGAAACGTGTGAGTGGTGTGCCGAAATGGGTGGCGGGGACATGTGTGGACTGCGCAACTGGGGCATTCAGCGGAGTTCCCTGTGGGGCGACGAAACGTGTGGGGGGTGTAGCGAAATGGGTGGCGGGGATACATGTGGGCACCGCCACTGGCGCCTTCGGTCGAGCTTTCTGCGGGGCCACGAAACGGGACGCATGTGGGCGGTCCTGGGAGGGCCATCGGGAGGGGTCCTGAGGGGGGTGTCCCGGGGGGGTCCCGGGTCAGAACACGATCCCTTCTTTCTGATTTCGGGTCGCCTTCGAGGAAGTTTGGCCCTCTTTCGGCAATTCACGTCCATGATAATCCAAGAGAGGCCTGAAAGATCGCGCCAAGACGCCCAAGAAGCCCTCCAGACGGCCCAAGAAGCCTCCAAGACGTCCCGAGAGGCCTCCACGAGCACTACGAAAGTTCCCCAAGAGGCTCAAATCATAGAGTTCGATCAGCTTTTTAAAGGATTCGGCCGTCTGGCCTTTTCGGCTTCCTGACACTCCAAGACAGCCCAAGCGGCCCCCAAGATCGCCCCAAGACGGCCCAAGAGGCCTCCAAGATGGCCCCACAACGGCCCAGGAGGGCCCCACGACGGCTCAAGAGGCCTCCAAGACCGCCCATAAGCCCGCCAAAACAACCCAAGAGCCCACAAAAACGGCTCCAAGAGGGGGCCCAGACAAGGGATTCGAACTGACATATCGAGCCCTCGGCCCAGAGGGGCACCCCAGGAGGCCCCAAGAGGCCCCCAAGAGGCCCCCAAGAGGCCCAAATTCCCCTAGGAGACCCCAAGAGGCCCCCAAGAGGCCCCCAAGACGCTCCCCAGAGGCCCCCAAACTGCCATCAAGAGGCACTCCAGAGCGTTCCGAGGAAACCCCAAGAAGCATCCCCGAGGACTCTGACCCACAACCCAGACACAGTGCCCAGATGGACCGAAGGCCATTCGAAAATCCAAGGTAGGACTCAAATCGCGAAAGACAGCTCGTAGACTGTCCCTGTTTCTCTCAAGACGGCCGAACACATGTCCGCGACGCCTCAAGAGGGCTCCGAGTGAACCCCCCAAAGGGCCTCAAGACACCAGAACTTCCAATAGTTCAGAGGTTTTGGGACAGATGTTCACGTTGTCGCTTGTTTCGGGCTTGCGACCGCCCAAAACGATCCAGCGGGCCCCCGAGCTCGCTCCCAGACAGCACGAGAGGTCCCCCAAGAGCATGAAAACACGCCCAAAAGGCTTCAAGGCGGCCTCAGAAACTCCCCGAGAGAACCCAAGGGGCCCGTGCGAGAGACCAGAGAGGGGCTCCTGGCCTCAAGACGGTCGCGGCTTCCATAGCTCTGACGGGCCCCCAAGATCGCTTCAATACATCCCAAGAGGCTCCCAACGAGCACCAAACAGCCGAAGAAACCCAAAAGACGGCCCCTGAGACTCCCCAAAACAGCCCAAGAGACCCCTGCGATAGCCCTGGAAAAAAGGCTCCCTGCCCCAAGACGGCCCCCAGAAGTCTCAATACCGGCCTCCACAGGCGTCAGACGGGACACGTGGTTTGCGGGGCTTCTGGATGCGAGTACCGAGCAGAACTCCTCCTTCTCATATTGTCTCCTCCTCCTTCCTCCCCTCCTCCTTCCCCCTCCTCCCTCCTCTTCTCTTCTCTCCCCATCCACCTTCCTTCCTCCTCCCTGCTCATCCTTCCTGACTCATCCTCCTCCCCTCCCTCGTCCTCCTCCTCCTCCTGCTCATCCTCCTCCTCCCCCGCTCCTTCTCCTCCTCCTCCTCCTTCTCCTCCTCCTCCTCCTCCTCCTCCTCCTCCTCTGCCGCGCGAAAGCGGCGTGGAGGGGCGTCGCAAAATCGGGAGGACCCACCCTGTGAAGGCTGCCTCTCTGCATCTCTACCGCCCGATAGCGGATGGGCCGGCACGCCTAGGCCAGCACACCCAAAATGTAAAGGCGACGAGGTGTGGTGGCAAGCCTAAGGCCCCCGGGAACGTTTCCAGGTTTCCAAGTCAAAGCAACCGCAGTGCACGGGTGAACTGCCCAGATAAGCGGTGCTCTGGGCCATCGGCTGAGCCAACTGCAAAATCACATCAAAACGGCCGCAAAGAATCAGTAAACTGCCCAGCTAATCCGTGTTCCGGGCCATTTGCTGCGCCAGCTGCACGCTCCCAGGGCGAAGTGATCGTCCCTCGGCCTCGAGTCCCAAGGCCCACGGCCTCATTCCAATCGTGAAGGTGATGCGTGGCATTTGCTTCCCCTCTGCTTCCATCTCCGACCTCCCCTGCATCCTCTGCCTCATTATGCCCCCACTCCGCATGATCATCCTGCATCGTTAATCCCTCCTACCTTCTCCTTTCCTCCTAAATGTTTCCCCTCATGGATGTTCAATGCCAAAGCCAAACGCACGAAGCACAGAACAGGCTCCCTTGTCCCTCTTCCACCCATCCTCCCTTGTGTTCCATCCGCGCTCCTCAATCTGTCGTCTTCGCAGTCATCCCGCATACCTGCTTCCCCTCATACCACCTTTGCCATCCCTGCTTCCATATTGCCCCATCCCGCATCCCAAGTTCCCTCTTGCCTAATTTCCCTTCTGAAATTCCCTCCCTCTATCCTTCGTTTCCCTCTCGCACCCTCTACCACGATTCTCCATCGCCCCCTTTCATTCCCTTCTCCCCCCTCCATGCTCCACTTCCGATACGACTCTAAAATGGCCCAGCGGCCGAAGATGGCCCCAGCATAGCCCGAATGGCCTCGGCGATTTGAGGGACCAGCATCAACTTTCGACGAGGTCAATCCTCCAACCTGGCGGCGACGGCGACAGCGCGGCAGAAGCGTCAAAGACGAGCCCGAAGGTCCCGACATCATCCCAGGAACCAACTTCAATCACAAGTCCGTCTTTGACATACCCTGCTTCCTGCCTCCTCAACCTGATCCCGGAGGCCTAAAGCGAAGACAAACCTGAAGAGATCGAGTCGACGAAACTCGATGAAGAATGGCCCACGAACCGAGGAGGAGGAGCAGAACGAGAACGAGAAGCAGAAGATGATGAACGAGGAGAAGGAGGAGCAAATGATGGAGAAAGGGCAAAAGGAGGAGGAGGAGGAGGAGGAGGAGGAGGAGCGGGACCGGACGGCACCCACCGTCCTCCTCATTTTCCTCGTTCTCTTGATCATCCTCGTCCTCCTCCTTCTCCGCGTCCTCCTCCTCCTCCTCCTCCTACTACTACTCATCCTCCTCACCCTCCAACTCCTCTTCCTACTCTGGTTCCTCGTCGTCGTCGTCGTCCTCATACTCGTCCTCCTCCTCCTCCTCCCTGACATCCTTTCCAGGGTCGGCGGAACTGGTCGTAAGGCCTTTGCAATCTCGTGGTACTTGGCCATAGGGCCCCACACATCGGGTCAATGCCTTGATCACCCCTGCTCATCTGGTCTGGTAATCGGCCATCGGATCCCGCCAGTAAGGTCATGGACACGCTTGCCCCTGTGGGTCTCGTGATTGGAGGTCGCCCAATGCGGGGCCCGAGTAGATGGGGTCGGGAGATCACGCCGCATCGCCGATGTATCGGTAGCGTCGGGACGGAGAGCACCGTGCTTAATATGCGCGTCGCATCACCGATGGATCGTCGATTCGGCACAATCCTACCGCATAAACTCCGACCCCTTCTGGGCAGCCTGGAATGGTAATTGGTCACTGCGTCCCAGAGTCCCCGACGTCTGTGCCCCAGATCTATGTCTCGCGGTGGTTGGCAACGGGTCCCCGCCTGCAGGAGATCGACCTTACCTGACCAGCCGCCCCACTCCTTCACTGTTCGGGGCCCGCGCGCTGGGGAGGCAGAGATGTCTTGTACGAGAACGGCGCCCGTGAACGGTACTGTTTTTTAAGATTCCCGTCATGCCCCGCTCGAACGCCGTACGGTGCACAAATTGTCCGCCCGAATGGCCGAAAAATATGTACCGTGACCACTCCCGGGTCGAAGATCGACGACGCCTCGGGGGACGCCAACGCGGCACGGTGCACACAAGCCGCCCGCAAACCTGGATAACTTCTCACGCCTGCAACCTAAGAGGTCTTGAGCTGGAACCTACTCGGAGGGCAACTTGTTAAATATTGGCAGATATGGCCCCAGCTCCCAGCGTTTCAGGACGCGCGTGAATGGTGGCCGTATGAGATGCGAAAACACATATTGACGCCCAACCCCGAGCTCCTTGATCTTCTTCACCGAAGCCTTGCGCCGCCCGTGCAGCCGCACCAGGTCCCGCTCCTTCAACAAGCATGGGGATAAAGAGAGGGGGCTGCAGCAATGGGGAAGACAAGTAGTCAGGGCACATAAACTACATTCCCTTTCCCCGCCCTCAGAATCAACTTCCACCGCTGAGGCTACAGGAAGGGAAGGGGGGAAGGGGACGAAGGGAGGGCGCCCTCTCTTTCCGCCCAGCATTCCACGACCAGAAGCGAAATCCAAACAAAAAAACAGCGGAGAGGCTCCTACCTTTTTCGCAACAGTGCACTTGCAACTCACCTTTTAGCAGGCATGTTCCCTGGCTGATCCTCTGGTTCTGCCCTAACCCGCCTCGAACAGATATTTGCCAAAACTCCAACCAAATCTGACAGATTCAATGGTATGTTGTCCTGTCTTGCTATGCCACTATGACATCCATTCCCAGTGGTTAGAGCTGTAGTTTTTGGCAGTGTTCCTTGAGATCATATGTCCGTTAAGCGGAAGGTACGATAGGTGTGTATATACAGTTGTGCGCCCGACCCGAGAGAAGGGGAAGGTGCGGGGTCATTTTACCAGCTCGCAGCTCAAAAAGCTGGAGCACAAGCCATGGCCAATGGTCCAGCGGCGGCAAGGATGCGGCGGCGGCAGCAAAGGCGGGCAGGAAAGGAACCCTATTACCTCGAACTCAACCCTATCCCTGAGATTGGCGAGCCCAGGGCCCAGGGCGATGGCAATCTTAGGAATGCGACCCCAGAAATCCGGGGAATTCTTAAGATCGGCACCGAGGTACGCACGGTGATGGCAATCGCAGAGACAACGATAAATTCTGGCCTGTGATGGTCCTGAATATGAGGGTCGTGCCGCCAGCACGTTGGCGACAAAACCAAAACTGTCAAGAATGGGACGGGGACGACGACGACGACGAAGAGAGGGACGACGACGAGGGCGACGCTGACGACGACGCTGACGACGAGGACGAGGACGAGGAGGACGAGGACGAGGAGGACAAGGACGACGACGACGACAGGGACGAGAAGAGGACGAGGACCGGGACGAGGACGGCAATGACGTGGGGACGGGGACGAGGACGGCGACGATGAGGGCAAAGACGAGGACGAGGATGGGGACGGGGACAGGGACGAGGACGAAGATGTCGACGAACCCGGGATGAAAACGACGACGACGACGACGAGGACGGGGGGACGAAGACGAGGACGACGACGACGACGAGGACAACGACGACGAGGACAAGGCCGACGACGAGGACAAGGACGACGATGGGACGAGGACGAAGACGAGAACGGGAACAGGGACGAGGACGAAGATGACGACGAACCGGGGATGGAGACGACGACGGCGACGACGACGACGACGAAGATTGGGGGGACGACGACGACGACGACAATGACAAGGACGAGACAAAGACGGGACGGGGACGACGACGACGAGGAACCGGGACAGGGACGAGGACGACGATGCCGACGACCAGGACAAGGACGACGACGAGAACGAGGACGGGGGCGGGGACGACGACGACAACGACGACGACGACAATAACGTGGACAATGTCGGGGACGGGGACAAACGAGGACGGGGACGAGGACAAGGACGGGGACGACGACAACCGACGACGACGACGACGACGATTACGACGACGACAGGGACTACGACGACGACGACGACGAGGGGACGAGGACAACGCAGAGGACGAAGACGATGACGAGAAGGACGAGGGCGAAAACGACGATGACAACGACGAAACGACGACGGCCACCCTTGAAGGTCCCTGGGAGTCCCTTGAACCCCAAGAAGGTCTCTAGAGACCTCCGGAGGCGTCTGGAAGCCCTCCGAGGCGTTCGGGGACAACGACGACGACGACGACAAGGTCGACGACGACGACGACGACGACATGGGGGACGAGGAAGACGAAGACGACGACGACGACGACGACGACGACGACGGCGACGACGACGACGACGTACGTGGTCGGGGACCAAGATGGGGACGGGGACGAAAACGACGACGCCGCCGCCGACGACAACAACGACGACGACCGCAACAACGACGAATACAACGACGAATACAACGACGACGACGACGAAAACGAGGACGAGGACGAAGACGGGGGGGCAACGACGACGACGACGACGAGAACGACAACGACAACGACGACAACGACGACTAGAGCAAAGACGACGACGACGACGACGAGGACGACGACAACGACGAGGACGAGGACGGGGACGAGGACGAATACGGGGACGGGGACGACGACGACGAGGACGAGGGATGAGACGTCGACAAAGGCGAGACCAGGACCGCCACAACGACAAAACGACAATGACGACACCGACGACGACGACGGGGACGACGACACGGATGACGCTTACGACGACGACGAAGACGACGACCGCAACGACAACGACGACGACGGCGACGACGAGGACGACGACGACGACGAGGACGAAGTTGGCAAACGACGACGCGACGACGAAGACGACGACGGCGACGACAACGACGACGACGCCGACGACGACGACCACGACAGCCGCCTCGGAGAGTCCCCACAGTGGTCAAAAAGGCCCCTGGAGGTGTCCGAAGCTTTTCGAAACCATGGGAACAACGACGACAACGAAGAACGAAGACGAGGACGAAAACGAGACCGCGGACGACGACGAGGACGACGACGATGATGACGACGATGGAGGATTGAGAAGGTCTACGTGGGTCTCCGGAGGCTTCAAGAAATCCCCAGAAGCCTCTGGAAGCGTCCGCAGGCCCTGCGGAAGTCTCGGACGCGACGAGGACGAGAACGACATCGACAATTCCGACGACAATGACGTCGATGAGGACGTGGACGACGACAAAAACTACGATTACGACGACGACGACGACGACGACGACGACGACCGCAACGACGACGACAACGTCGATGACGAAAACGACGACAACGACGGCGACAACGACGACGACGACGAGACCACGACGACGACGACGACGACGACGACGACCACGACGATGGTGACGACAACGACGACGACGAATATGTAAAAAGTTCAGAAAACGCTAGTGGACGATGGTTTGGTGTTTCCGCCAGAGGCACCGCGCCCCCTCAGGCGCAGAAAACTGCCGCCAGCCATCCGAAGCGTGACTTCGAAGTGGCCACGTCTTCGTCGCACTGCCGCGATGAAACCTACAAGTGCACCGCACTCCCCCGCCTGAGCCCAGGGGCATGGGCGTCTTTTGCAGGCAATGCACGCCCCCAGCTTCGACCGTTCAGATTGCCACGATTTGTCGCGTGCAGTTGTTCGGCCTCTTTTTCGTAACCAATCCTCTCCGCGCGTCCCCCCACCCCCCCCTGACTTGCGACCCTACCCCCCATCCACAGTCACCGCGCCTTCTCGGGGCAAAGTTTAAGCCTCGATTTACCGCCTCCTCTAGCCCCCGATCCCCCTCAGCGCGACTGCAGGGCTCGAGTTTTACAACGTTCACAGGGCACCTCTCCCCCCGCATCTCAATGTGACCACGCGCGGACCAAAGAAGGTTTCGAACGGTAAACAACGAAATTGTTATCCTCCTTATCCTCCGCCCGCTACTGCTGCTGTTGCTGCTGCTGCTGCTGCTGCTGCTGCTGCTGCTGCACCGCTGAAGAGGAAAGTCCCAAAGCGTCCACATTGTGAATTAGATGGGGCCCATCACCTCGTGGCGCCTCCCATCGCGCAGCCGCGTTGCTGCGCGAACTCGATGAAACGGTCGACGGGGGCGAACAGAGCAGAGCCATCAGGAGGCAGTTCACTGCCCGGCCCCCCATCCGGCACCCGATCCATCATCAGGGCGCGCAAGAAGGCCTCTGCCAAAAGTCTAGACAACTCCGTAGGGTACTTTTTTTTCTCGGAGGTCGTGCACCTTCCCCCCGCCCTGCCAACGGCCGTCATGTGCCCCTGTGGGTGACAGCACCTCCCTCCCCCAGGGATGCTCATCAAAATCCTCGGGAACGCTTCCATGTCCACAGTCAGCAACGTGGCCGGCTTCAAGTACCGACATCCAAACATGCACTGGTCAATGTCAAATCCTCCAAAGGGTCCTCACCCAAACAATCTCCTCCAGCTTCCAGCTGGGCGCAGCCCTGGGTTCCAGAAGCCACGCAGAAGCCACGCACATTCGCGACCACTGCCTCGGTTAGAAACATGACCGTCGTGCGAAGCAGGAGATTGCCAACATCCACCTGCTTCTCCTGACCTGCCACGCCGGTGACCCCCCAGGGGCCCCCCGAGGACGCAGCGGCCCGGGCCCCAGGGCCCCACCCAAGTTCCAGGAATCGCACCCCCCACCAGCTCTCGCAGGGCGGGCCCGCTAAAAGGCCCACCACCACCAGTCCTTGGGTCATAAAGCCCAGACAATTCTTAAACGCACGCTCCCGAGCAAGGCCAGTCCTCTCCCGATCGTTGGCCACATCCACCGAGTGGGCCCAAATTAGCTTGCAACGGGGAGCGGCCTTGTTGAGCTCCTCCACCATCCACCTTCCAGAAAAGAGGTGAAAGGAGTGGGGGGTGGGAGAACCTGCCCCTATCGGGGCCCAGCCTCCAGGACGGGGGGGGGCACGGGGGGGGAGGGGGGGCGGGGGGGGCCGCAGCGCCGACAACACCACCCCTGCCAATGAGCAACACGGGGGCACCGCCCCCTCCACGCGCCGCGACAACCACCCCCAGGGGGTCATCACCCGACGCAGCCACGCCCAGCTCCTGCAGGGCAAGGGCCCCAGGAGCCTGCGGGGCGCAACGGGGGGCCACGGCACCGCTGCCGGCACCCACTGGCACCGACTGGCCCCCGCAGCCCACCCCCCCCTCAGAAACTGTGCAGGCGACGGCCTCAAGCGCTGCATGGGGCGGGTCGAACGCCGCGCCGCTCTCATGCACGGGGCCGCCCGCGCCCGCGCCCGCGCGTCTCGGGGCCCCGGGGCCCTGGGCCCTGAGCGCGGAAAGGAGCGCCTCCTCCTCCTCGTGCAACCTCGCCGCCCTGTGGGACTTACCCCCCGGTGCATC